TGTCCTGCTGACATGGGGGCTCTGATCACCGTTTCCTGGCTAGAAAGAGGTGCCTCGGCTTCAGCAGGGACAGTCGCCCTGGAGGTGTGACTGACAGGAGGGGGAAGTGTGCTTCCTAAACTGTAAAATTCTGTACACGTGTTTGTTGGCTGTTCTTCTCCTTCAGAGTGTTAGCCTTGGAAACTGTAACAAGTGGCAAGGCAGGGGATGGCATCATGACCAGGAAACAGGAGATCCAGTGCTGGTCTGCAGAGTTGGAGCTGTTGACTGCAGGGGAAGGATGTGGACTCCCGGAACAAAACTCAGCTCGGCCCCTCTAACGCATGTAAAACAGCCTGCAGCAGGTCTCATTCAGACTCCTTAGAGGACGTGCCCACTCCCAAGTGAAGGCCTTGGACAAGACAGCTCTTTTATCAGAGAGGGAACACCTGTTTTATTTATCCTTTTATCCATTCAACCACTGTTTATTGGACACCTATTGTGTGCTAGGTCCTGCAATAAAACGTATGATTACAACTGTGGTAAACACTGTAAAAGAGATATACAAGGTGCTGTAAGGGTCTATAATCCAGACCTGTAAGGTATATAGTCTGCTATATAAGGGCCTACCATCAGGATAACTGAACGAGTCTTATAAAACCGAGGAAGTGTTGATAATGAAGCTGAGATCCAAAGAGCAGGGAGACATCAACTGGGTAAAGAGGAGACCAGGAACAACCCAGGCATAAGGAACAGTCCATGCAAAGACCCTGCAGTGTGATAGAGAAAGACGGATATCAGTTAGCTTTCACTGTGTACCAAGTCACTCCAAACTTGGTGCCTTAAAACAATATCCTTTCTTTCTTTCTTTCTTTCTTTCTTTCTTTCTTTATTATTTTTGAAACAGAATCACACGCTGTTGCCCAGGCTGGAGTGCAGCGGTGTGATCTCAGCTCACTGCAGCCTCCACCTCCCTGGTTCAAGGGATTCTTCTGCCTCAGCCTCCCAGTGGGATTACAGATGTGCACCACCATACCCAGCTAATTTTTGTATTTTTAGTAGAGACAGGGTTTCACCATGTTGACCAGGCTGGTCTCAAACTCCTGACCTCAGGTGATCCAACCCTGTCAACCTCTCAAAGTGCTGGGATTATAGGCATGAACCACCACGCCTGGCCTCATCCATTTTTTAACCCACGATGTTGTAGATCCCAAATTTGCCTGGCCTCAGCCAGATGGCTCCAACCCTCTGGGTCAGGTCATGGCTGATCTTGGCTGGGACTCACTCATGCATCTTCCCCAGTTGCTAAGTCAGTGAGGAACTGGCTGATGAACGGTTGGGGCTCCTTGTTTCTTTACCTTGTAGGCTTTTCTTCTTCAGCAAGCTACCCTGGGCTTCCTGGACATGGCAGTTGAAGGATTCGAAGAGACAGCAAGAAAGAACAAGCTCCAAAGCTCGAGTACTTTTCACATCTCTGCACTTGCTACTGCTGCATTGACCAGAGCAAGGCATGTGGCTGAACCCAGAGTGAGTGTGGGAAGACACTGCCAGACAGTGCAGGTACAAGGAGGCGTGAACAAACTGGAGGCTGGAACTGCAACAATCTCTCACCATGTGTTCATGGAATTGCCAGAAAGCACGAAGGCTGGAGGGTGAAGAGTGGAGGGACCCACGGTGCTAGATGAAGCTTGGGGTGTCAGGGCCTGGGATGTGCAGGCTTCAGACAGTGCTAGGAGAGTCTGGTCATTATCCTGAAAGCAGGTGAGCCCTCTGGTTTCCCAGTCTGTCCTGTGGGCATGGAACAAATCCCTTGAAAGCTGAACTGCCCTTGGTGAACTGGCAAGCTTTCTAGGCTTGAGGAGCAGAGGGCAGGATCTGGTACATGGTCTGCCTGCACACACCCCTGCCTGAAGGCTGTGCAGCCCTCAACGCCCCAGGCCTTCCCCACTCTGTGCCTTTGAACTGCTTCTCCCTCAGCTTTTCCACAGGGCCAGCTCCTACATTCCCAGGACTCAATGCAGGGAGTTGTGTTGATCCTCTTCCTTAGGGAAAACCTCCCTGATTTCTCTAAGCTCAAAGACAGGTAGAATGAGACTATGAGGCTTAGAAAACCAACATGTGGCTCATTACAGTGGCCTTGTGGTTTCCAGGACAAAGTCGGTATGGGACCCAGCCCCGCCCATGTAGGCAGAATACTTCGCCTGGGCTCTCCCCATCTTTTTGCCTTTTTGCCTTCCACTAGACTATGTTTCTTGAAGGAATGCTCGTAATTCCAGAACTTGCACATACTTGAATGAATAAATGAATGAATGAATGAATCCATTACTAAACAGGGCTTTCCTCTGAAAGCCCCAGCCAGCCTCATTAAAGTCTTCTGTCATGGCAGTTGAAGGGAATTGTTCTCTCCAGCAAGACCAGAATCTCTAGTGTCTCCAACTTCCAACCTGAAGCCACCCACCCAGAGCAGAGAGGCCTGTGGCTCAGGGACAGTCCACTGCAGGGCAGTCAGAGGGGAAGACAAGTGCCACAGCATCACTTGCTGTAACAGGGAAAGGATCAACCAGCTGTGGCCATTGGAGCAGGCCTTCCCTGGGTGCTGGAACAGCCAGCTAGGGGTACTGAGTGAGGCAATGATGCCATGAAGCCAACTGGTGAATTGGCTTCCTCACCGCAGCCCGGAGAAGCAGCTCCTATGGATCAGAGGCTGAGAAGAGCCCAAGGACCAGCCCACCAGTCCCGGCAGAGGTTTTTCCAAGTCAGCTTCCTACTCTTAAAGAATAATGGTGTAAATTACCCTGTCTCTCTTGTGCAGAAGAAAAACTGAATTTCAGGGAGATCAGCTTTGGACTTATCAACCACCTTAACAGTTACGGCCACCCAGATAAAAGATTACATTTCCCAGCCTCCATTGCAGTTAAGCATGGCCATGTGACCAGGCTCTAGCCAATTAGACATGAGTGAAAGTGATGTCTATAATTTTGAGGTTGTGCTCATACATGGCAGAGGTGTGCCCTACTTTCCTGTTTTTCTTCTTCTTGCTGCCTGGCAAGCCAACTAGGACCATATAGCCATGGGCATCACCTTAGAAAGATGGAGCAGCACAACACAGAAAGAGCCAGGACCCCTGATATGTGGGTGTATGACCTGGAAGCCACCATACCAGACCTGAACAGTTTATGCCTTTTAAGGGAGAATGAAAGAAAATAGGCTATCTAGCCATTTCGTACCCAGTAGGATGGCTAACTTTCCAAAAAAGAAAGAAAACAGCAAGTATTGGTGAGGATGTGGAGAAAACTGAAACCCTTGTGTACTGTTGGTAGGAATGGAAAATGGTTCAGATACTGTGAAAAATAGTATGGCAGTTCCTCAAATGATTAAAAATAAAACTGCCACATGATCCAGCAATTCTCTTTCTGGGGATATAGCCAAAGAGTGGAAAGCAGGGTCTCAAGAGATACACCCATGTTCACAGCAGCATTGTTGACAGTAGCTAAAACATGGAAGCAACCCAAGTGTTCATCTAGGGACAAATGGATAAGCAAAGCATGGTATGTCCATATAATGGAATATTATTCAGCCTTAAAAAGGGAAGGAGATTTTGACATATGCTACAACATCGATGAACCTTGAGGACATTACATAAGTGAAATGAGCCATTCATCCAAGGATGAATACTGCATGGTTCCACTTACATAAGGCACTAGAGTAGTCAAATTCCTAGAGACAAAGTAGAATGGTGGTTTCCAAGGGCTGGAGGTGGGTGGTGGGGAGTTTGTGTTTAATGGGTACAGAGTTTCAGTTTTACGAAATGAACAGAATCACAGAGCTGGATGGTGGTACCTGACATTATGAATGTATTTAATGAATGGCACGCCTTAAAAAGGTTAAGATGGTAAATTTTATATTCTGTTATTTTACCCCAATAATTTTTTTTTAAATATCCACCTTGATTAAGCCACTATTAGTTAAGGCATTTGCTAGAGCTGTTGAACTGTCTACATTCTCCTGACCCATGTGAAATAGTGCAGGACTGTTTCCTCAGGAAGCCCTTCTTCCCATTGGCCAGGACCCCTGGGGCTGCCTAATCACCAGAAACTCCATTGTCCCAGGACAACAAAGTTGTGACCTGCAGCCACCCCAGGAACAGGCTATTTTCTTGGAATAAGAGCTGGGGAAGCTGCTTGGAGGAACCTGCTAGATTGCCAAGGAAGGGAAGGGAAGTAAGCAGAGCAGATTTTCTGCCAGTGTAGACACGAGTAAACCTGTACCAGTTGTTCAAACAGTCAAATTCTTCCAGGCCTGTGGGTGAGCAGCCACTATCTTGAGGCTCCCCACCTCTTGCAGTTTCCCCTCCCTGGCTATCCTAGACCCAGACCCACCAACCAAATGGGTAACAGTTAGCACAAGAAGGGATCCCAGGATGTCATTCTTACCTACAACTACTCCGACTCGGCAAGCCACACCACTTGTTAGAGACTTTCAACATCATCCCTGGCTATAAGTTTCCTGGTCTTGGCCAGGCGTGGTGGCTCACACCTGTAATCCCAACACTTCGGGAGGCCAAGGAGGTCGGATCATGAGGTCAGGAGTTCAAGACCAGCCTGACCAACATAATGAAACCCCGTCTCTACTAAAAAATACAAAAAAATAGCCGGGCATGGTAGTGCATGCCTGTAGTCCCAGCTACCCAGGAGGCTGAGGCAGGAGAATTGCTTGAACCTGGGAGGCAGAGGTTACAGTGAGCTGAGATCGTGTCACTGCACTCCAGCCTGGGCAACAGAGCAAGACTCTGTCTCAAAAAAAAAAAAAAAAGACTGCTAAGTTACCAAGTCTCAACTGACTGATGGGGAAAAAAAAAAAATCTAAATTTAGTTTTGACGGTGACAAGAGTTCTAAAAGGCATACTTGTCATTTAATTCCACCTCCACCTCCTTCTCACTGTCCTCCCCAAAACCAGGAATACCCAGACCCCGCTGAGGCCCTCTTGTACCCATTCAGAACATCCCATAATCACACACAGAGATTATTGCACTCTTTTATTTACAGAAAACACAGATAAAGCATTTCAATGTTCATTTAGCAAACTGATCCACTCTTTTTTTTTTTTCTTTTTGGCACAAAGAAATATCACAGATGGACCGACCCCAAGATCAATCAGAAGCTCATAAGATTCATCAGTCATCACTGGTCCAGGGGCAGCCACAAGACTCAGACAGACAGACAGCATCACCACAGACTGGAAACAGGAACAGATCCACGTTCACCTCACAGTAAAAACCTGCCTCACCGACAGGCAAGGGCGGGCAGGAGGGGGCAGTTTCGCTGCTCTAAGGGGGGAAGTTGGTGTCAGGAGCAGGAGGCAGGGATGGGGAAAGGATGGACACCATTCATAAATTAGAGACAAGTGGTCCTCTTGTTTGTATCCTCTTACCTTGAATAGTAAGACAGTGCAAAAACTGGATATCCAACCACTCATCCATTCAAACTCTTGAGAAGTCGCGTGGCCCCGGGTGCCTCTCCTCGCGGGTGCCCGTGTGCGTGTGTGTGGATGTGTAAGTGTGGTGCTTGTAAACATGGACACCGTCCGCACAGAGACCCAGCATCCGTGTGTCTGAATGGGGTGGGGTGGGGTGGGGGCGGGACCCCACTTCACGCGCCCTCTGCCCCAGTGATTCCCGTCCAAGACGTAGTGCAAATTTCAGAGACAAAAAGGGGCAGAAGGGAGTGGGGGCAGAAGGGACACGAAGATGGGGTGGGAGAGGGAGGGGGAAATAAGGCAACAGTTAAAAACGGTCCATTTTATCAAAACCGACACCGTGCGCCTCCCGCCCCCACCCGCGCCGCCTGGGTCACGAGAAGGGGCGGAAGTCCCGCTCCTCCACCAGGCTGACGGAGGGGTTCTTCAGCTCCTCCTCCGAGGCTGCGATCTTGTAGCCCAGCTGGGCCAGCACCTGCTGGCAGGCGTTCTGGGCAAATGCCACTATGTCGTAGGAGAGGCGGAAGCGCCACTTCTCGGCCGTGGCCGCCGAGTTTCGCACGGTGCCGTATTTGTGCTTGCCCAGTGTGGGGTCGCCCCGCGTGTTGTTCTGGATCCAGCGGGCCACGTGGCTGTCCAGCGGGATGCCCAGGAACCCGTAGATCTCCTCGGTCTTCTTCATGGGGTTCCGAGCCAGGTCCTCGTAGCGCACCAACATGTACTTGCCCTTGAGCCACGGGGGCCGCATGAGGCCAGTGGACACGGAGTTGGAGAAGTCTTCGCACACCGTGGTCAGCTGCGTCACGTCCAGGTTGTAGGGCTTCCTCCCGGTGCCGTACCACAGCCGCCAGAGCCGGTACGTGTCGCGGAAGGTCTCGCTGCGCGAAGCCAGGATGCCGCGGGGGTCTCGGACCAGCTGGATGACCTTGAGGTTTAACCGCGGGTCTTCCACCAGGGCGCGCAGGTCGTTCACCTCGGGCACGCGCACAGTCTTGATGGCCACGTGGCTGCGCTCGCGGCAGGCCTCCGCCGCCACCGTCAGGTTGAGCAGCCCGCACTTGCGCACGCAGTCCCCCTCCTCCAGGACCAGATCCCCTGGCCCCGGAGGGTCGCACACAGGCCGGGAGCAGAGGACCCGGCTGGCCCCGCGGCGGAAGATCCTGTCGGTGGTGTGGTTGACCGGCGGCGGCTTGATGTAGTTCTCCAGGAAGTAGAGGTCGCAGTCGTAGAGGCTCCGCAGGAGGTCGCGGCTGGCGCCCAGCATGACCCGCCGGTCGGCCGGGCTCTTGCCCTGCGTGAAGCGGGGGATGAGCGTGTTCTGCACGTGGTAGAGGGGCTCAAACAGGTAGAAGACGTCCAGGTGCTGGTTGAAGAGCTGGCCCACGAAGGAGGAGCCGCTGCGCGTGGTGGCCAGGATGAGGATGTGGGTTTTGCGGGAGAGGTTGTAGGCGAAGGTGGGGCTCTCCTCGCACAGCCGCTCAGCCAGCCCCGCCTCTGCCAGCCCGGGGCAGGTGTGGAAGGACTTGGCGGTGAAGGTGCGAATGGCCGTGTACTGGATGGCAATGGAGGCCAGGGCAAGGAGGAGGACGGCCTTCCAGGAACATTGCATGGCTGGGCACCTTCATGGGGCTGCTTCTCCACGGGGCGAGGTCTGCGGGCAAGAGAGGCCGGCGGTCAGGCGCCTCCTCGGCAGGGGCACGGGCTCATTCCCTTGGAAAAGCCGGTGTCCCGGGGGCCCAGGGAAACGGCCGGCCCCTGTCCAGTGGTCGCCACACGCCCTGAAAACCTAAGCGTCTTCTACACTAGACTGCTGTTCTCTGGGGACTACCCGGAGTTTTGGGGAGCTAAACAAATATTCCTTGCACTCCAGGATTTAACCTGCAGACAGCTGTGGAAGCCTCCTATCCTGAGCTCTGAGATCCTTAAAGAGGCCTCGCCAGGCAAGAGCCTGCCTCCCCAGACTCCGGCACTGAGGAAATGACCAGGACCCGCCTCAAACACTGCCCCTCCCCCTGCCAGCATCTCCCACCCCCACGAGCTGGCGCCCCCGCCCCCCCCCCCGTTCCCCAGAGGGTCATCTTTCCTCTGTCCTCTGCCTATCCCTAGGGGGAAGGAGAGTCCATATCAGATGGCTCCATCTGACCCCAATTCCCAGAACGTGAAGGACCCCTGCTGACCATGGTCAGTGAGCTGCCAGCATGGCCAGGCAAGGTGACAATTGTGTCAAGCTCCCTCCAACTCATGGATGCAGGTAACTACTTACTCCAGATGTGGAGTTCTGGGGCTCATGGAGTCTCTAAGAGTCTCTGGAGCAGACACAGGGGTCTGGGGTCTGCTGACAGGTGACCCTTCCCAGCACCCAGGGTCTGCTCCTGGTCTCTAAGGACAAGGGCCCAGGCCCTGGGATCACATAATCCCCACTGACACAGAGTGAACTGGCCTGCAAAGAAGACGGTAGGGAGTCAGGGTCCTCCACTCTTACCTCCTGTGCCCCAGCTCCCCAAGAAGGGGGACTGGGGAAAGATCATGAAGAGCAGAAAGAGTGAAGGGGGCTGCTGAGAGTCCAGGGCCAGGAGCCCACCTGAGCATTCTGCAGGTACCTCCTCTGGAGGCTGGCTCAGCTACCAGACCTGAGCCGGGGCTGGGGCTGCTCGCGGGGAGAATGCAGGAGGGCTCAGCCACTTACCAAAGAGGGGCTGCTCCAAGCTGGGGAGTCCACAGCCACCAGCGTCTCCAGGTCCAGCTGGCCGTCCCAGCCAGTGTGGCAGCCCTGTGACCAGCAGACTGCAGGAGACGAGACAGGGAGGGAAGGGTCTCAGAAGGTAAATCTGGGGTCTCCATAACTCCTCCCCACTCCTTCTCTTCTGTGTCCTGTGCCCCACAGTCTGCCCTGAGGGCCAAGCAATACGGGCCCTGACTGCTCCCCAGATCCATCCCTGACTCAGTGCCCCAACCAACCCAGTGCCATCTCTGATCCCCTGAGTGTGGCCCTCTGAGTCCAGGACAGTATCCCACTCCCTTCACCTTCCTCGCCCACCCCACCATATCCTCCTAGTAAGCCGCAGTCTTTCTGCTCACAACAGAACCCAGCAGGCAGGGAGGCTGGCAAGGCTCTGCATTTTAAATCCATGAAACAATCCTAGCCCTTTAAAATTCAACTTGCGCAGCAATTCCCCAGGAAGGGGGTTAGCAGAAGTCAGCGAGGACAGAAGGGCTCACCCCAGGCCTCCAGGTCGGAAGGGCGCCTCCGGGCACGCAGCTAGGGAGAGAGTCTTCTTCCAACCACTCCGAAGTAACACCAGCTACCTGAAACTCAAAGCGAAAGTGGACCAGGGAGCATTCCTGACCTTGATGCTCCTCATGGAGTCTGAATTAAAATGCCAAGATCATCACATTACCTCAGTCAACGTCTGTTGTGCCAAGCCCCTTCCCTGCATCAGCTCGTGTCCTCCCAGCAAGAACCAGATGTGGAAGCCAATATCCACCCACTTCACAGGCGAGAAAGCCGAGGCAGAGAGGCAGGGGAACCGACCTGGGCTCACAGGCCTGCTTTAACCCCCATCTGGTAGGTTCCCCAGAGCCCAGCTCTTTCCCGCTAAGGAGATTTGGCTTCCTGTTCCTCCAGCTTAAACATACTTGGCCTTCAAACATGCATTCCACTACTGGCCCCAGCCCACTGGTGAATCAGCATGACAGGGACTGGGCAGGCAGATGCTTCCGAGACTCAGAGCATGTTCCTCTCCTTTGCCGTCTGGTCCTGTGGATCTGTTGGTTCACAGCTGATGGGGCGAACTCACGTGCTTTGTGAAGATTCTTCCCACACCCCACTATTTGGCATGACTCCTCTGGGAGTCGGTGAGTGGATCCTCATTTCCAAACCTGCAGCGCTGCCTGGCTCGGCTCACCCAACTTCTAGCACCACATTATTCCCTCTAAGCCCCTCTCGGAGGTCAGGGTCCTCATTCCTACCATTCAGATGGAGAAATCAAGTCCTGTTTTAAATACGAAATTTTACTTCCTTAGGAAATGTTACTTCTTTAGTACCAGATCACCAAGTAGCAGTAAAGAGGGAAAGGGGCGCTTTAGATTTTTAGGACCTTCTCAACGTGATCAGAGAAAAACCACAATCCCGACCACACTGTATCCCACCCCGACCTTATCTTGTAGAGGCAGAGGATGCTGGCCTCCATCAGGGGGCTGGGCCAAGTACCCAGGGAGAAAGGCCTCTCTGCTTTAAATGTGACTCCCCTGCAAAGGCAGGCCTGCTCCACCCAAGTGCCCCAAAGCGAATGTGAACGCCTTTCCAGAAACAGACAGGGGATGTCATCAATAACAGCGGCAGGTCGTATTTTTCAGTTATTTAAGAGTCTGTTCTTTGGCTGCAGCGTCATTTCATTTGGATGCACTTCCTTTGTATTTACTTGCAGACGTCGATCAGAACTCCAGTATGTGCCGGGCACTGTTCTAGACGCTATGGGTAAAACACTATCAAGGAAGGCAAGCACTTGCTGGGCATTCACATTGTTCCTCCAAGGCATATGCTTCTTACATGGGCATTGCCTCATCGTACCCTCATGCCAGCTCTATGAAGTTGATACTGTCACAGCCGCATTTTACAGATAAGGAAGCTGAAGCCCCTCAAGGTTAGATAACTTCCCCAAGCTCACACCCCTAATAAGGAGCCGGGATTCCAGCCCAGGCAGTGTGCTCGGCAGTCCACGTTCAAATCGTCTTCCCTGATTCCACTCATACTCCACCCTCCTTGGTCCCCATCAAGACAGGAAACAGAACCCTTAAGGGGTCTTCACTTAATTCTGGAGTTCCAATTCCAAAAGCAGAACCTCGCTCCAGGGTTTTCTTTACAGAGGAACGTCTTGCCCTCTTGCTGGGGAGAGGATCATTGAAGTTTCTTCCCCCAACTCTTCCTCCACCCAGAGAAACTTAAGGCCAGGACTAGAAGCTGCTGCTTCGCTAATAAATCAGAAGTCGCTGAAGCAGCTGGAAGTTATAAATCCCTAAGACTGTGAGACTCGGCCTCACAAAGTGGGGCCTGGACACGGAGGAGGGGAACGTGTTTGAAGGCCCAGCCACAGGCCATCCCCTTGTACCCCTGGGGAGGGCAAAGCCAGGGCATGGGAACGGGAAGGTGGGAGAAGTCCAGCCCTCCTGAAAATGCCCCCACTCTCCCGGCCTGGCAGAGCTGGGCCCAGGGCTGGCCAAGTGTCCTTGGTATGCTAAAGGCATCTGCCCTGGAAACCAAAGGCCCTGGGGCTAGGTCCTGTTGTTGCCAAGGAAGTCTTAGCCACTACGAAAGACTCCTCAATGCCCTCAACCTCAAAGCCAGACTGTGGACCCCAGAAACCTTCCCTAGGCTTCCAGCAACCCCTGGCATGGCTTCCCTCTACCTCTGCTTAGTAAAAATCCAACCAGACCTTGGACACAGGAGACCAGGATCTATCATTTCTGTTAGAAAGCAGACAAGTTGCTAAACCTTCGCTCCCAGTAGAAAGCTCAGATTTCATTGTCAGCCGACTTGAGATCGGGGCACAGAGCGGGAGCAGTGGGCAACTCTCTACTGGAGAACTGCAATTCAAAGTAAGAGCTCGCACCCTGAACCATGCCTACCTGGATCTGTCACTCAGCAGGTGTGTGGACCTGAGTGGTCCACCAGCTGTCCCTGAGCCTCAGTTTCCCCATCCGTAAGGTGGGCATAGCTACAGCAGTGGTGGTAAGCACTGAAGGTCTTAGAGCATTTAGTCAACGCCAGGCGTATAGATACAACCCAGCCTCTGACACCAGCCCTGCTGATCCCAGCTCAGCCACTCACTGGCTGCGAGACCGTGGCTAGGTTTCTTCATCTCTCTGGGCCTCTGTGTTCTCACATGCAAAAATGGGGGTAATGATAACAAAGCTGTTGTGAGGATTCATGAGTGCAGTGCCTGGTGCAGGGTAAGTACTCGCTACATGTCAGTTAATATCATCATCAGTAAATGTGTGGTTTGCTTTTTGTGTCAGGGACGGGCCTAGAACAAATCATCCCGCAGGCCCCAGGGTCTGGCTCTTGCCCACGGCCCCTTCTTCCTGCGGCTCCTCTCCAGTCCTGGGAGCTTCTTCCTGCTGGGCCACCGCAGTGGCTTTCCTGCTGCCCTCTAGTGACCACATCCTGAGGTGCAGCCTCGGAGTCCTGTAGTCGCTGCTGTGTTCAGAATTCCGGGGCTGTTGGCTCCAACCTGATGTGAGGATGCAGCCAGCGGGAGGTGATGTTGCAGGATGCTGTGAGGTGTGAGGAGGGCATGCCCACCCTGGCTGCGGCCTCTGCGCTGTGCACGCCCACCCCAGCCGCACCGGGAGAGCCCAGCAGCAACAGGCAGCCCTGCCTCCTCCTGAGGGCCTCTCCCGCTCATCTCACGGTGCTCTGGCAGGGAAGGAGCGCTGACCTGAATGTCACAGGCAGGACCGGCCCACACAGCCTCTGCCTTTCCCTGGATGGGTGACCTTGCACTCACCCCCCTGGCCTCTCTGTGCCTCGGTTATGCCATAGTTCCAGTGACAACTCAAGGGCCTCCCACCTCTAACCAGGAGGCTTCTATAATCCCAGGAAGGCCCCAGACTTCGTTCTCAGGCACAGTCGGGGCCATCCACACAGCAGACAAGGGAACCCTGCATTGGGAGTGAGAAACACCCAGTCATCTTCCAAGAAGATTCTAGGGCTGGGCATCTCTGTCCCCCACCTCAGCCTGATCTGTGGCAGCCCTAGGGCATGGAGGGAGCCAGGAAAAACCTAGGGGTGCTTCCCTCTGCCAAGTTGGCCCCCACCTTGTGCTGTACAGAAATCCCGTGAAACCCAGGGCTGAGAGGCCTTGCTTCACCTTTTCTGGGCCACAGACCCTTCAAACCGCAATCCCTCCTCTGAGAAATTCCATTAATGCCCACAATTTTACACATGCAATTTAGAAGTCCCCCGAACCTCTGAAAGACCACGCATGGGCACCCCACCCTTTCCTAGAAGCTTACCCCCTTCCATTATTAGCTTGTCTGGGGGATTGTCTTTCCAACCGGCTATGTCAGAGAAGGCTCCTCAGACATGAATACGCTGATAGAAACAGTCACCCAGCATAGTTTATTGAGTTTCCAAAGCTAGGGCCAGAAAACACGTGTGCAATAGTACACCGCCATTTCAGATTTTTTTAAGGAGATGGACGTGTATATTTGTATATAATGTGTAAACAATCACTGAAAGAGCTGGCACTGAACTAGTAACGGGAGATGCCCAGAGGGAGAGGGCCTCAAGGAAACTTGGGTGGGAGGAGACAACATTTACACTGAGCTTTTTGATTCGGTTTGAGTATTAATTGTGGGGGACACGGTGAAGCCACTCCATGTAGGGACAGGTGATTGATGACAGGATGCGGTGCTGAAAATCAGCCCTGGCATCTCACCATGCCTCCCACCCTCCCCCCAGGGCACTGCCAGCCAGCGATCCCCACCCTCGTGTCCAAGGCCCCTGGGCGAAGGCACTGCTTTCCCACCAGAAGCGGGCTCTGTCTGTTCAGGTGGGCCGCTAAGGACAGTAGGCAGCCGGGCACTGCTGAGACTGGGCCGGAGCTGAAATAAAGCTGGATTTCAGCGGAGGTCTGTGGCTACGGGAGCAGCTGAGCCCTAGGTTGGGGAAATGACTCTTCTCCCAGACATTTCTTCCTGAAAAACTACTGTGAAGCCCTGGGGGCAGCTGGGGAAGGAACCTGAATGTCGTCTTTCCGGACAGACTCAGGAGCCATGATGGATGGGGCTCCAAGGCTCTGGGGTCCCAGGAACTGGAGCAAGGGACAAGGGAATGGGACAGGGAGGGAGGAGCTGGTAAACAGGCCTCTAGGATGGAGACTGCAGAGGGGAAATGCTTACTCCCTGGCTCTGATGTAGCCAGCACTGATCTACCATCCATGTTTGATTAGTTAAGGCTAAAACACATAAAACAACAAGGTGTTTTTCTTCCTAAGGAAAATGAGGTGATGAAAATGAGGCAAGGCAAGGGGAAAACAAGAGTTTAAGAGTCTGAAAGAACCAGAGGCCAAGTCAGTGTACAAGAGTCACACCATTTGTGGGCTACTGATCTAGAGTAGATCTTCCTGACAGCCAGTAGGAAAAGGGAAATAGTTCATTCGCTTGTTTCACAGGACCCATGAGATAAAGATTAAAGCATTCGCTCAAGAGATGTCCAGGTATTCCTGACACTGAATCCAGTGCAAGATTTCTCCCGAGGGAGTTCTTACAGGGCCCTGTACATGTGCCACCATGAACGCCATCCT